ACCCAACGTTGGGGATATCCCATCTATCAGACAAAATCCAAACGCCGATGTCAATCTAGTCAGCCGTCATGGAAAATCATAGAAAAATCAATTAGATGAGGGTACGAAGCTAAGTGCTTACACCCATAACGTCTCAGCTTCTACTGTCTTTCACTGTCTATAGCCAGTTGTGGGAAGACAGTTACCCTTAAATTTCTTAAAGTAGAAATGAATTGGAATAAAGCCACCTTAATATTTCTACTAATTAAACTCCCAACCTCCAACTTTACAAAAAGATATTCAACAGAACTATAAGATATTCAATAGAACTATAAAATATTGAATAGAACAAAACAGAACTATAAAATATTGAATAAAACTAAATAGAACTATAAAATATTGAATAGAACTATAAAATATTGAATAGAACTAAATAGAACTATAAATTATTGAATTAAGAAATATTTATTCAGATATTTTCCTGCTCTATTAAATAGTCATTGTTTATTTTTTGTAGTGCATAATATAATATAAAAGACAAAATTAGTTCTAGAAATAAAGGACCTTGCGATACCAATTTTTTTAATTTTTGATTAACTAGATATTAGTATAGTCTGTATGTATTAAGCCTAATAGGCCTTTCACTACCAATATAAATAAATCTTGCCAATCATAGACATTATATTTTTGAAACTTTTTGTTGTTAATAAAAACAAACTGCACAACGGGATCGAATTCCGAATTTTAGCGATATATGCTCTCAAGCTTACCGCTGAGCCGTCTCCGGGCGGTAAGTCTGTGGTCTTATAATACTAAAATCGGGTTTCGATACCCGGGATGGGAAGAGCACAAATAGTACATTGTGTATCTTTGTACTTACTAACAAAAGAAATAAATCGTTGATTCACCGGGGCGGATGATGAGGTTAGAAAAATCTATAGACCATTTCAATCAAGCTTTTTTCTTCCGTTCCTAATATCGCAGTCACAACTGGAGACTTTATTCTAATTCACAGAAAATTAACTTATCGCTTCAAGACAAAGACAACAACAACAAAAAAAAAACAAACTTCTGCACACAATCTCAAGAAGAAGAAGATAAACGTTCGAAGTACCGAAAAAATTGAAAAGTGATGTATCAATACACAGTTGTGCTTTCCTAGAAGTATACAGACTTAAAACATTTTTTTATTGATTCTTTCAATACATAGGACTGAAATCAATTTTTCTATTTCTCCAGGAAGGGCCAAGTTCTTGTTCTGCCAATTAGAGATCGACTTAACTCGGTATTAAGCGAAATAGGTGAGTTTGTTCTTATATACTTTTGATTTGAATATTTGCTCTCTTTGAATACCGTAATTATATAGTTACAGAAATAAAATGAAGTTAAAGGTGAGGCAATGACAACTGATGACACTGAGCAGTCTAAATGCTTTTTATTTACTTGTTTAGTATTCGTTAAAAGTAAATGTCGAAGTTGACGTATGGTGTATGACTTTTTTCTATTACTATTTTCGGTATAATTATCAGCAGTACCATATGTAATTAAGACATTATTGAGGATTCATTGGTTTTTAGTGTTTAGGCCTAACAGCATTAGACGTTCCCTTGGATGTTATATACTACTTCTAGCCACCACACAGTAGACGATACTTAAAAACGTCAAACCAATACTCTTAATAAATTTTTTATTCTCAAATAAAAGTTTTTTTACTGGATCTCTGCCAGCCAACTTCTATTCTTTTAAATACACACAAAAATTTCAACAATCCTTAGTTCTTATTTAGAAACGTGCAGAAGCTGTTCATTATTTTATCAGTGTAACAGGTTCTTCTTATCTTTACAGACTCCTACATGCCAGGTATTTCGAAAGGATGGCATTCCCCCTTATCCGATGTAGATGCTGTATACAACATCAGCTCAAACCTTTAAATCTGGATTTGTTTTACGTCACTGAATACAAAGTTTTAGATTTATAAATACTCACGTATACATAGTGATTATCTAAAGAAAGTGAAAGAATTCTTCAATTATTCTCAGATCGTGAGCCTAATTCAAAATGGTATGATAGTCTCAGATCGTGAGCCTAATTCAAAATGGTATGATAATCTCAGATCGTGAGCCTAATTCAAAATAGTATGATAATCTCAGATCGTGAGCTTAATTCAAAATGGTATGATAGTCTCAGTCATGAGCCTAATTTATAATGATACTCCAGGACATGGTTTTCCTTATATGGTGTGTCAAGGTCATCGCAAGAACGAGGCCGACCATTTTGACGAGTAAACAAAGCAGATTCTCTTCATTATCTCTACCCCTAACTACAGTTATTACATAAGTCGCCCCCCAGTGACACAGCTGTATGTCTGCGGACTTACAACGCTAGAATCCGGGTTTCGATACCCGTGGTGGGCGGAGCACAGATAGCCCATTGTGTTGCTTTGTGCTTAACTTCAAACAGACAATTACATAAGTCATCAAGTGGTTAAATATAGAGATCCACACACACACATATAACTTGTCAAACCACACCCCCTATCATTGGTAATGTTTAATGGTGAACTTGTGTCTTAAAAAAAATAAGTAGGATAACTGCACCCCTATGGGTGATAATAGAAGCTTTTTAGTCCTATATTATAATTAACAACCAGCTCTATACTTTAGTTTACATCTGACTGTATATGAACAAACCTATTCCATATAACTTCGAACTGCCCCTTCTCATTATATTCAGATGATTATGTTTCAGAATATATTTACAATACCTAGGACTTAAAACAGGATAGAATACAAACATAGGAAAAGGTTACTGCTTATGTAGATAAGGGTAAGAATGTAGATTTGGTGTACCTGGATTTTCAGAAAGCATTTGACAATATGCCACATAAAAGGTTTGTAAAAAAAATTATCTCTATAGGTGTGAGGGTAAGTTAGTGTGTAGAAAAGCAGAGAGTTGTTATAAATGGAATTCAGTCATATTGGATTAATGTTACAAGTGAGCTATCTCAGGGGCTCAGTCTTAGGACCTTTTCTCCTTTTGATTTACATCAGTGATATAGATGAAGGAATGGTCAATAGATTA